CCCCCGCGCCCCGAGACCCCCACCCCGCCGGCCTCCGATACGTCCCCAGGGGGCGCTCAACCAGCCCAGTTCCCCCGCGCCCCGCCCGCCGGGCGCATCCCGGGCTCGTAGGGACGCGGGTGCCGGGAGCACGACGAGTGTACGAGTGTGCGCAGGCCCAGAGGACCTGGCGTCCAACAGCAGGGCTAGGGACGCTGGAGGCTGCGGATGACTCTAAACCCAGGAGGAATTTATGCTGATGATTTTTTCTGGTACTGGGGGGTCGAACCCAGGGCCTTGGCACTAAGGTACAGCCCAGGGTTTGTGTTTTGTTTTGTTTTGTTTTGTTTTGTTTTGTTTGAGACAGTGTCTCACTAAATTGTTTAGGCTCAAACTTGAGATCTTCCTGCCTCAGCCTGCCAAGGTGCTGGGATTACAGGTCTGCTGCACCATGCCCAGCTGTGAATGTCCTACCCTTTTCTTTTTCACTTTCACTACATATTGAATAGATTCATTGAGACGTTTGGCACCCTTTGCAAAGCAGTCGTGTGTCAGGCAATGGTCCCAGATGTGGCATGCTAATGTGAGCATTCTGAGCACACAGGCTAGACAAGCACCCATGCGCGGTAGTTTCAGAGCATTAAAGGCACTCTCCACTGGAACATTTTCCACGGTCTCTTTTTAAATTTTTTTTTTTTTTTTTTTTGAGACGGGGTCTCACTATGCAGTTCAGGCTGGCCTTGAGCTCACTTTGTAGCCCAGGCTGGTCTCGAACTCGCAACGATCCTCCTGCCTCAGCCTCCCGAGTGCTGGGATTAGAGGCGTGTGCCACCAGGCCCGGCAATTTTTAAATTTTGTTTCTTCGTTTTTGTAGTGCTGGGAGTTCTTTTTATTTTTTTATGTTTGAGGCGGGGTCTCACTGAGTTGTTATATTCCCCAGACTGGGCTTGAGCTTGTGATCCTCCTGCCTCAGCCTCCCAGCATGTGGGGATTACAGGCAATCGTGGATTACAGGCATGCACCACCATGCCCAGCTCCACTGTCATTCTTTGGTTGATCAGGATGTAACCCAGATGTAAATCAAGACACATCTGCATCCAGAGGCATAACAGGTGTAAGGCCATATTGGAAGCCTTGGGGTGCCCACTGACTCACTCATCCTGGAGGGCTGTGGAAGGGAGTCAGTGCACAAAACAGCTGCCCAAGGAAGAGGAGATGCCCGGATGTCAGTCTTTGGGATGGGAGTCCAGGTGTCAGACACCTATAGGCTAGGCCTTTCCAGGTGGGTTGGGGGAGCCAAAAGCTAAGGGTTTGGTAACTGGTTTGCAGCCTGTAGTTGAAGCCAGGGCTGGGTGGTGTCAGAGTTCAGAACACCACCTGGAAACCTAATCTGCTTATTTCCAACAAACAGAGCAGGGACTTAGGCCTGGAAGGGGAGGAGCCCAGGGAGCTGCGTCCCAGAGCTCGTGTTCCTGGTGGGCAGGTGCCACTGGTCACTCTGTCAAATGGAGACTCCTGAGCACAGAGCGAGAAGTCCCTGTGGGAAGAGGGAGGGTGGGCGGCACCCAGATGCCAAATCAGCAGAAATCAAGAGCAAAGCATCTCGGAAAGGAGTGACAGAGGTTGTGCTGGGTGTCACTGAGGCAGAACAACAGTGACAGAACCGGGGTGGCCTCTACCCCGGGCCCCCCGGGGCTTTACTCTGCCTCCATCTCCCACCTGTGCCCTCCTGCTCTGGGCTCCACCAGCTCCACAGATGCCCTGTCATATCACTCAGTGCTTTACTAGAGAGACAGACATAACATAAGGTATACACATGTGTAAGCAATTACAGGATCAGCCCACATGGCCGCCCACAGAGTGGGAGGAGGAAGCGTGCAGAGGTGTCTGCACACTGGAGACCGAAGGATCTGGCACTCACTGCAGTGCCCAGGCATGTCTGTATCAAGAGGCCGATGGGTCTGTGACAGAAGGCTGAAGGATCCCAGGTGGAAGCCGAAGAGTCTGCACTGGAAGCTGGGAGCTGACGTCCACACTGAAGGGCAAGACCGGAGCTTCTCCAAAAAGGAGAAGCTGAGCTCTTTCTTTCTTTCTTTCTTTCTTTCTTTCTTTCTTTCTTTCTTTCTTTCTTTCTTTCTTTTCCTTCTGTTTTCTCTTTTTGAGACAGGGTCATGCTGTGCAGTTCAGGCTGGCCTTGAGCTCACTTTGTAGCCCAGGCTGGTCTCGAACTTGCAACAATCCTCCTGCCTCAGCCTCCCGAGTGCTGGGATTATAGGCGTCTGCCACCATATCTGGCAAAATGTGTCTTCTTTTCCTTTTTTCTTTTTTTAACTGGGAATCGAACTCAGACCTTGCCAGGCAGGCTCTGTGCCACTAAACTATACCCGCCTCCCCCATCTGTCTTTTCTGATTTCCCCTTTATACCATCCAGGCAATAAGCCACCCTAGGGTATAAAATTGCTGAGTGGATTTAATTAAACTTCTCCTAACTAAACTTCTCAAGTTGACACAGTCACTTAACTGTCACTGCTGTCTTCAGCCCCTTCTGAGAAAGCCACATTCTGCTTCTTGCTCTAAGGAAGCCCAGCTTTACCATGCCTTGCGATATGGATGCCTTCTCACCAGCATCCACCTGGGCCTGGGCCCAGGCAAAGGCCTGTGGCTCCTCACTACCACTGCCACTGCCACTGCACTGCACCCTGAAAGCTCCTGGCTGCAAATGCTCTCCTGTCCCAGGAAGCTGCCCCATCATCTTCCTGGTCTTTGCCAAACCCGGGGCAGTCCTCTCAGTTCCTGGTGGTTTCAGCTGCGGGCTCCCTGTCCTTCTCTGCAACTGCACTCCTGTAGACCATCTTAGTAACTTCAGTATCCACAGAGGTGACCTTCAACCTCCTGGACCTTCCCTAGGCTTTGCTCAAGCAGTTTGGTGAGAAGAGAGGTTCCCAAGAGGAGGAGCACCCATCAGGCCACAGGGAAAGATCCCTCAGACGCAGGGGGCAGGTGCAGCCCAGGGCCGTCAAAAAAATGTGCAAGGTAGGGGACCCTGAGCAAGTGGAGGAGCAGCTGAACAGTCTCAGCAGGCTCTGGCCTATGATACCCGTGGCTTAGGGCAGGGTGAAATGGCTTGGAGTGAGAGTCTGCTCAAGGAGGTGGGTGGAGCTGCAGGCTCAGCAAGGGCTGGTTTGTACGTGAAGATTATGGTCCCAGCCCAGCCATTTGTGCTCTCTAGGAATCAGTGAGCTGGGGAGGGGCAGTCTCTCCAGAGTTAGCACCACTCCAGGATCTCACAGCATCATGAAATACAGGAAATAGGAATGCCGATTGGTACAGCCTCTCATTCTCCTCACCCTCCTCCGAACCACGGGCGTTCCCTCCCGTCCCTGCTAGTTGGGCTTTGAGGACGTCTGCCAACCACTCCTTTCATCCTTTTGTGCTGCTTCTCCCAATAGAAGTAGGCACTGCTCCCTCCTGTGGAATCCTACTGGCCAGGGGAGTCGCTTTGCCTCACAGAATTGCCACAAGGGAGATGCCATGGTAGTTACAGGGTGGCCTTGAGCTCACTTTGTAGCCCAGGCTGGTCTATAGGAGCCCCGTGCTGCCATGTAAAAACATCTCATTACCCAGTAGAGAGAGCAGAGGAGAGAGAGGAGAGAGAGGAGAGGAGAGAGCCAGAGAGGAGGGCAAGGACGTCAGCACCTGGGAGCACAGCCGTCCTGGATTCCCAGCCTCGTCAAGGCCCCAGATGACTGCAACTGTATGAGTGATCCTAGCTATTTCAGCCGCCTGTTGTCACCTAACCAACACCCGATTTATCATTTATCCTAAAAGCTGGGCCGTGTCCGGGATGTCTTATCTGTTGCACTCATACCTCTGCCACTGGGCTGGAGGTCAGGTCTCTTTCCCATGGGCCGTCCCCAGGCTAGCGTGGGCTTGTACAGCACACTGGCCTCAGGAAAGTGGGACTGATTATCCAGTGGCCAATACCCGAGAGAGAGGAATTCTGAGGCTGAACTCAGGAAGAAGTATGGAAACAGTTTGTGCCTGTTATCCCATCACACACAGTGGCTGAGGCAGGAAGATCACAAGTTTGAGTCCAACCTAGATAACTCATAAGAGAAACCCTGTCTCAGAGTTTTTTTAAAAAGGGGCGGGGCTGAGGAGGTAGCAGAATGAGAGGTTCCATCCCTAGTACCACTAAAACAGAAACGACAAAAACAAAAACAAACCAAAAGAAGGCTTCTAAGAACACCGAGTTGATTTTCCCTCAGCACTGCTTTGTAACCCACAGTAAAAAGAGTGTCTCAAACAAATGTGGTATATCAAATTTCCTTTGAAACAGCAGAGGACCCCATTCTCCCAGAGATAGTTTTTGATGTGTATATGTTTTGGTTGGTTTTGGTTTTTTGAGACAAGGTCTCACTATGTA